ATATATATATATACATTTCGATGCTCCAACCTAAATACAATACATTTTTATCACAGGATTACCTAAAAAAAATGAGGCATGGCATTGAATTCTTGTTAAAAATAAAATTTCCTGTAAATTAAAAATACAAAAATAAAAAGATGCTGAAATAGGAAATGAGGAAAGAGCATCTATATTCATATAGAAGAACCTATAAAAAGAATGTCATATCTATTTGGATGTCAATTTAGAACAATTTAATTATAGTTGCACAAGTTTTTTTTGGAATGGTACATTTAAACGTTCCTTGTTTTGATTAGAGAATAAGAAGAGGGTGACTTACCTGTGCAACCTTCTCCCCCATGTAGAGCTTGTGCGAATGCATTTCTTTGAGGAGCAGCTTGGCGGAGTTGTTTTCTTTCTGCCGGGAGTGTGATTCAGAGATGACATTGCTAAGGGAAGGGGACATTCTCTGCTGTCTCACCCTCGACAGGTCCGAATCTGAGGAGGCATTTGGGAGGGACTTGCTTAGGTTGTTGGCCGCGATTGCTGTACACAGGTAAACACAATTAGCGAACAATATAAATTACTGCCAAAAATATAAGAATTGGAAATATGTGGGCATACAATATTAAAAAAAATGTCTTCTTATGTCTATGATTATTTACAAACCCAGAATTAAAAGCAAAACATTCCCGCAACAGTCAATTAGGGACCAAATACAAACCAATTAGGGGTCAAGTCTAGTAGCTACAGATAAATAGTATCATATAGCAAAAAGTACTAATTTTAGAAATCGAAATGTAAGTACCAAAATTTTTTATTTTATGTGAATCACCGGTCGAACAGTGTTTTATTAAAGGATAAGGATTTTTACTTTGCATATTAGGATATCAGTATAATAATAAAGACATAAGCGAAATACATTTTAGGTCAAATAAAAAACATTACAACAAGCACAGTTAAAAGTGATAATGATAATAATAATAAATTCTTTCACATGTTGATGGAAAAAAATTATTATTAATATTACCTTCAATTGTATTTATCGTATTACATATTTAGTTGAATATTTGATGGCTTTAAAACAATTCTGCCAGTAAATGAATCTTTCTTAACAAACTTTTTCAAATTATTAAATTTATATTAAGTAACAATATCTATTTTCATGTACGAAAAGAATATCTAGATTGTGAAGGCTAAAACTGTTAAACCCAGAAATCAAGTTTGTAATTGATTCAAACTTTAGGGCTACAAGAAAAAAATTTAGGAGGATAATTTTACATGGACAATATCTTGTGGCATTTAATTCTAAATACTATACAACGAAATGATCACACTCAGCGGCTTATTTTCCCTAATAGTAATTTGAATTACATTATTCCCCCTTATAATTGATGAAACTGCAATGACAGAGACAAAACAAATGTTTCAGGGAAATTTTAAATGAAACAACTACCAAAGAAATAGAGATCTTAATCCAAATAATTATGTGAAAAAAAAAACAAATTTTTACATCGTGGCATTGCAATGGGCAAATTCTCCATAGTTAGTCAGACTGACCCTTTCAGAACATTAAAAAAATTTTTTTGCACACTTTAACGTCATACTTAGTTTCAGTTTAAATCTTAAAGTCTTTTTTCATGATTTCTAATGCATTGTTTATATTTTTTTTAACTAGAGAAAATATTTAAGATTTCAAATTTTATTTTCTAAAACAGCATTTCGTAGTGGATAGGGAAGTCGCGGCAATTATCGCGACTTTATCCTTATACTCAGTATTCAAGATTCCAGCACCAAGAAAGATGTTTTGTAGGTATAAGTTAAATTATTACAGCATTTTGTTGAATTGCCTATGCATTTTTGTACTACAGACGCTGTTCATTATTTTATTAGTAAAAATTTATGGTGGTCAAAATACAATTCAGTTAGTTTAATATTTTAATGTCTTTTGTACGTGTGCTCTTGTTGAAATTTCTTTTTCCAAGAATAATATTTTTCCTAAATTCTTAAAATATTATTATTTTACAATATTACAACTAATACAATATTACAACTAATACAATATTACATCTAATACACTATAACGTACTAAGTTACAGTATCAAAGACACTAAAATATACTAAATTTTTGTGATTAAAGAAATGGCCACTATTACAATATCACTTATTTCAATTTATCTATTATTATTCAGTTACTCCGTTCTGCAACAACATTGTTATTTATTAATTTTTGATTAAGTAAGAAATGAAATGTTGTTTTGAATTCATTAATTGTTAATATTCGATTTACTGATAACATAAAAATGAATCTCATAATTTTTATATACTCTTTTTCTTTGAAAAAAAGTTTGACTAATTCTTTAATCAACATTTCTTTAGTTTTTGGTCGAAAGTCAACAAATATGTTCTAGAAAAAACATAGTGATAACACCTGCAATTATATGTGAGAAATATCGCGATACCCACATATTCCGAATGAAATAGGATAATTCAGAATATCATTAGTCGCTTTGCATAAACATGACTTAATATCGTTTCTATTATTTAAATAAAACATAATGTTATGTAAGTATTTAATGCCGATAGAAACATCGATGTATTTCTATTGTGTCTTATTCATGAAGTCCGCAGTATTTTTACCTATAATGTTTTGAACAATTTTTCACAGCTATAAAAATTATTGCAACAATATATTTGAGAAACTGAAAACTAAATACAGAAATTTCCTTCATAAGAAATTTATTGTTAATCATTTTTTAATTTGTATTATTATTAATTATTTTTAAATATTAATTATTATTAATTATTTTTTAATGTTAATAATTATTAATTTTAATTATAATTAATTATTTTTAATATTAATTATTATTAATTATCTCTTAATTTTAATCATTACTAATTATTCTTAAATGTTAATTATTTTTAATAATTTTTTAATATTAATTATTATTAATTATGTTTTAATTTTAACTATTATTATTTTTTTTTTAATTTGTAACACTAAAGTTACTAAAATAAAAGAAATCATTAATTAAAAATTTATAAAAATTAGATCGCTCTGCAGGATGTTCTGAGTTCATATTTTTTAACAAGCATATATTTTTAGAGACTTTTTCAAAAATTAAGACTAAAAATAAACACATTAGGGATTAAATATTATTATTTAGGGAAAGAAAGAATGAGATATCATGAAAAACCACACGAATAACTACAATAATCATTTAAATATTCATTAATTGTAGTAGAACAAAATATTATGCTGTTATCTTGTATTTTTCCTTCAGCTTTTACCTACGGCGCTTAGCATAATTAAGCCATTCTTGGACTTATTATATTAGCCGTAAGCAAAACGTTAATGATTAGCCAGATTTAAAAACAGTTTTTTAGTTCATTTTTGATAGTGTTTCTAAAAATATATATTAAAGGTGTTGCTAAAAGGAAACCATGTGTCTTTAAATCTCCTGCGTTAATATAAAATATTTGAAATTCAATGATTTATAGTCCAACAATAATTAAAGATTGATGTCACAAGAAAAAGTTTCCGTTCGAATTTCATACTTATGGTTTACACACAAAAAAGTTTCAACTAGTTTAGAAGGCTTGTGAGGAGTAAAGAAGTTTTCAAAATCTTACGGCAATGCTTAACTCTTAATATTTTCTTCACTAAAGTCAAAAAAAGGTAGTAAAACAGTAAAAAAGAAGAATTTAGAAACTTTTTTGATGGATCGAAGAGGTATGGCTTTCCAATAAGCTAGACTCCTTTTTTTCAATAAAAATGGCGAGGAGAGTTTTTACTCTTAAAAATTATGAGTTTACTTGATACTGAAAAACATACTACGAAAAGGACTATATTTGTTTTCTTTGCATTTTTTTGTTAGCAACAGATAAAAAAAAGCATTGGCATATCTTTTTGATTTCTTTTATGTCGAAACCAAAATATTTTTTTACAAAATTATTGTTTGTAGTCTGTAAGAAATTATTTTTATATATGGAGAGAAATATTTATAATATAAAAGTGCTTTTTTTTTAAATCGAACATTCATCAGCTTTTTTAAAGTTTTTCCAAAAATGCAGACAAATAATGAATCTGTGAATAAATTATGATTTAAATATTTTTGTTCACAAATGATGACGAAAACTATTTGGTTTTGAAACCAAACTATTTTTAAACAAGTATGTTAAAAGCAAAAATTCTTTCCTATATAATCGAAATATTTGTTATAAATATATTATTTTATATCAGAACATGCATCCGCTTTTCAAAACATTATACAAGAAACAAAGAAAAAAAATTAATCAGGGTATGAAATATGAATTAAATCTTTTGTTAGAAACTGATAACAAAGAAAGATTACCATCATACGTATTCAATTTTTTTTTCATCCTGAAAACTAAATATTTTAAAAGCAAAATTCTTTTGTAACCCATAATAAATTAGAACTACATTTAAGGAAGTATTTATTTTAAATACATATATTTATTTTAAATACATATACATATATCTGAATTCTAAAAGAAAAACATGCTCAAAAAAGTAAGACTAAAATTAATTAAAGTATAAAAACAAAAAAAACATCAGTTTATTGATTTTGATTTTTTTCACCAGAAAACTAAAATTTTTTTTTTAATAAAAAATGACTGTGGCTTCTGAGAAATCAGTTCTATACGTAGGAAAATATTTATAATAAAAATAATATTTTGAAATAGAACATTTATCTGCTAATTAAAAAATAAAATAAAAGGTATGCAAAAAGGGAAAAAAGATTATTAAGCAGAGTGTAAAATTATAATTAAATTTTTTGTTGGAAAATAGTGACAAAAAGAGCTTCAGTTTACCTATTTTATTTTTTTCCCATGAAAAAAAAATAAAAACAAAAAAGTTTGTCATATGTTACACTGTAAAAAAATAACTGCAAATTCTATGTAAAAAAAAACCTTTCTTTTTCGCTGAAAAAAACTTTTTAAAGATAAATACAGATNTAGTTTAACGTGTGCCACAGACAAAAATGTAATTAGGATAAAATCAAAATATTTAGAGATATAAGCTTAAGGCAGGGATAAATTTAGATTAAGCCATTTGTAATAACATCAGATATCATCGTTATCCTAACTATTTTAGCGTTTGGAGTCTACGGGCTATCATTTTAAGTAAATACAGCAGTATAATGTTTTCTTCTTAGCAGTATGCATAAAGAAAGATCTAGTTATATTGATGAATTATTTATCAGGTCATCAAGATTCATCGAAATAAATAAATTTATTTTCTCAAAATATATTATTATAAAAAAAAATAATATAATCTTTTAGTAGCCTGATAATATGGAACTCTTCGAAGTAATTTAGAGAATTTTTATTAGCTAGATTTCCACAAAAAATGTAAATAATTCAACAGATATTACTTATTAACAAGAAAATTAGTAATTTTAATTACTCTTATTTTAAAAACGAAAATGACTGCTAAGGAGTTTTGTCAAATACTTGCAAGTTCGCGTTTCAATCATATCATCCAATTTCATTGCTAAATACATTTCAAAAAATATTAATGCTAATAATAAATAAATCATTAATTAGAAGACTAAATACATTTGATAAATACTCAAAAATGAAAGTTTTATTTCTGATAGTGCAGTAAAAACAGTTTGTTTAATTATCTTGCTTTTATGCTTCACCGAAATTTGCAAATGCGCTCTGTAGCAATTAATACAATAAGGAAACTATAGAGAAACATTACAGTGCCATAAGTTACATAAAAATACAAAAAGAAATCAGTGGTGCATAGTTTCTAAAATTCTCGGGTCTCATGCAAAAATTTGGTGCTTTTTCTGCTAGATTGAAAGAGTGCACGGTGGTAAGTCTATGGAGGACCGGGCACTTACCATTACCAAAATCATAGGTTAATGTCCTTCTTCTAGAAGGTTCGCTTCGACACCAATAGAGGTCAGGATGGCTAACAGCTGCAGAGGGATGGATACAAAAGAGGTCATGCAAAGACACACATACTACCAACATTGAGAAGTACCATAACACAATACGTGCAATTAAATGAACTATGCTTTGTAAAGCAAACAAAGAATCTGTCATCTGATTAACACACAAACAAAAAGCGTTTAAATGTTTAGACTGATTTTTAAGCCAAATATAGACTTAAGCAATTTTTGAATTTTTTTTTTTTTTTGGGGGGGGGGATTTATAAATAATATACAGTTCACGTGATATTGTTTCAAATGTTTCCATCTTACCCTATTCACAAACCAGTACCATTTGAAAAATTTAGGAGAAGAGGTCGACAATACAATGCGGAAATCGATGTGTTACCTTAACCCTGGGTGAACAAATATCTCCTCGCGATACAAAAGCCATTTAAAAATTTATGTTTCAGATGTTAAAATTTTATATGTTTTATTTGCTAAAAATTTAAATGTTGGATGTTTTAGAGTTTTATTTGCTTTGCATGTTAAAATTGCTAGCCCGTTTCATATTCGCATTAAGAAGGAATAGCACAAAATGTATTTCTGATAAATTTATATTAATACTGCAAATATATTGGAAAATGATTAAACATATTTTTAAACTTCCGCCAGTAAGTTTTTAAAATTTTAATTGCTTGATTTTTTTTGATAAAAATAAGCATTGACAATTTTGATAGAATTAATTCAGAACTTTTGAAATTAATGTTTATTTATGCCAATTATTTGATACAATGAGGTGGAAATAAAAATCGTATGATTTGAACAAGAATTATTTAGAAGTAAATCACAAATGTATAAAACTGAATAAATTTAAAAAATACTGTATTTTACAATTTTAAAAGCTTATATTATGTTCTTAAAGAGGTATATCAGCATTTAAGTTAATGATATCATTTTCCTGATTAAATTTTTTTTCCTGAAAATTCTTTCATTAATTTAAAAAAAAATCTAAATAAATATTTTTATTCATTTCAACAAAATTAATCTTTATATACAATTTCAAACCTCTAAATAAATTTCATCTTATATTACTGTCGAAGTTGTATTTTTTAAAATTAATTGATTCAAAACAGAGATATTTACTTTTAGTTTATCATTATTTTTTAGCAATTACTTTTATAAAAGTTTTTCTTTAAGAAAAGAAAACATTTTACACAATACTTTCTTCAATGCATGCCGAATCAAATTCTGGTAAAAAGAACCAGCACTCAGGATGCTTTCACGGAACACGAAATCTGATATACCGTAATTTTCATAGCAATATTCATTATAAAATCACTGGACCACTCTAATAAAATAAATATTACTGTAATAAGACTACAGTATTATATTTTCGATAAAAATGGGTTTTTTCGCAAGATGCACTAAAAGTGTCAATATTTTATACCTTAATTTGAATTGAAAATTTTGGCAGTGTGGCTAGAAATATTATGATTACGAGAAATATTATGATATTATGAAATATTACAATATTAAGAGAAATATTATGAAAAATCGTAAAACTGGATTTTATGATAAAAATATATTTTACGGGTGTTGCAGTCAGTGTGAGAGTACTTTTTGCAGCAATTTTCTTTAGATATTTTTACAGTTTATTTATTTAGCTTAGTTTAATATAATTTCTGGAAAAAAAAACTAATCAGAGAGTAATCAGTTTTTTGTGTATATTTGTGTTTTTAAAAGTTATTTACGCTTATTGCATATTTCAAAAGACAATGTAAGATGTATGTATTTCTGTGACCAATTTATATAAATTCTTTCATGAATAGAACGTGAGAAACTTTCCTAAGATATATATATATATATNCCTTATCTACTAATATCTCATCTATACTTTTTAGTGTGAGTTTAATTGTTTCTACTGTTTTTAATAAATCTGGCATTAATTTAATGATGAAACACATTATTAATTTTATAAAAAATAGGCTGCTAAAACTCGATTTATTAGTCTTTTTGTTGAATTACAAAAAGAAAATATATAACTTACAGCTATGAAAGACATGAATTAAGAACTAAATTATAAATTATTCAATCGATAAATGTTTTAAAATTAATAAATAATTCTTTTTAATGGTTGTATTTATAAAAAATGTATGTTTCATCTAAATTTTACTCTTTTTTTCGTATCTACATATTTGAAAGCACATAACCTTGTCTAATAAATATTTTTGAAAATATCTTTTATAATGTTAAATTAAAAATTGCTAAAATATTTCTGTATGTTTGAACTAATAGCTGAAAATTTCATGGTTAACTGTTATAGTGATGAATGACCAAATAATTTTTTATACATTTTGCCAGAAGTTGAATGAACTACTAATAATAATAATTATATAATATATATGTATATATATATGTATATATTGACTATTTACATCTTGAATGATGGATTCGAAATCGATTCTCTTTTTAATTTAATATGATTCTTGCTGGATTTGATTTATTTTGTGAAATTAAGTGCTATATTACTATAGATTATAATAGAGTAAATATGACACAAATCTAAAATTTTGTCATGTGTTATGGTACATAATTTTATGATACACAAACATGCATTTTAACATACATTTACATTCAACATAAAATTAAACATTGACAAAGGTTAGTTTCATGACACTGAAATGTTGAATTATCTGAAAGACGCATGAAATAATCCTAGTACAAAATGACACTAAATAAGTTTCATTTAAAAGGCGGAAAAGAGGTAACTAAATAAGTTTCATTTATAAGTCATTTTAAAGGCGGATTAAACACACAACATAATACATTTAAAATACATGCATGAAATAATCAAAATTTAAACAAAAAGCATTAAAAATAAATTGATTTAAATTTAAGGCGAAGTTACAATATTTTAATTATTATATTTTTGTAACATCAAATTTCTCGGCAAATAATATGAGATCAAATTTCCTGTCAAATAATGTGAATTATTTTTAGTTGATGGAAAGTGTAATTTCACTAGAAGATTTAAATTTTTAAAAATGAACTCCCTTAAGAATAAAAAAGATTAGTTTGAGCATTATTTATTATATTGATTACTGACCTTTAATGATTTTCAATGTTTTGATATCAAGACAATGGATATCAATAAAGGAATACTTAATAAGTGCCATCAATGTGAATAATAGAATCAGATTATTAAGGAACATTAGATTAGACTCTTAAACATTGTATCATTAAAATAGCAAGATTGCTTTCTGATTGATTGTATTACTTTATTTGAATATGAGTGTTGAAAATCATATTGGTTACATAACAGTTATGTATAGTACAGAACAGCTTTATGCACTGTCTTAAATTTTCATAATTTATTTCTACATTATGAAAATCATTTAAATGCAGGAAGTTTTTAATTAGTTTTTCATTTTCTTTTTTTCAAATTTATTATTCATTTTTATTTACTTTGTAAGTTACCAAATAATGAAATAAACTAAACTTAAGAATGATATAACTATTCAAATATAAAATAAATAGATAATAATTTGATATGGATATAAAGCACATTTAATTTAATAATTTAATCCAATAACGCATTTAGTTTAATAAACTATATAATACTTAATTAAATTTAACTTAGTTTGTAAGAAAAATGAGACAATTTTATAAATATTTTATTAAAAAATGACATTGAATTTTAATTCCTTTTTTTTAAACTTAATATTTATAGCAAAATTTATTTTTACATTAGACGCTCAGTATTTCTTTATATTTCCTGATCTCCACATTTATTCTTATTATTCCTTAATTTAAAAAGAACAGTAAAATAGAAAATCATAGTTTCTGAAGCTGTACGTTCTATATCAGTTATGAAAATATTTGTACGTACTTTGATGACATAAATGCAGTATTTATATATGTCTGAGTTTAAGTTACCCGGGGAGTTAATTGGAAACTAGGCATATGCGTTTTTAAAAATTTACCAAACATTAATGGAATATTTAAATTTTATTATTGGTATTATTCGTACATTTTGTGACAAAATAGTTAAAATTTTTTTCCTCAAAACATATGTAAAATTATATTTATGTGCAGTTTAAGTGCGCTTGTAAAATTTACATATCAATATTTACAATGTCATTAAAAACTTATCTAAACACAAATATCAGAAAAATTCAAAATAAAATTGAGTATTCTGTTAAGGACTTCTTAATGTACAGTGCTTTGATAATTACAATAATGAGTTTGAATATCACATTTAAGTATAAAAATGTCTTTAATTTTTATGGATTTTTAAGCGCTTTTCAACTTATGAGGTACACTTGTAAGAAATGTTTTCTCAAAATTGATTAGAAATGTGCTAAAATGGACCCGAAACAAATATAGTCGATTGTGAAAACTCCATGTATTCAAAGTTGAAACATCTTATACCCATTTTTGAGATAAATACATAGTCTCAAAAGTGATACGGAGAGAGAAATGTATGAGAGATGTCCATTGGCAGCTGGCAAGATTCAAATCAAAATCATCCGGGTTCGTCGCTCTAACTGCATTAGTTCTACGTCCTATGAAGCTTTAAGCAGTGGCCACCACAATGGCACATCAAGACATGCATTCCATTTGCCTTAAAGCTCTTAATATATAATGAAATAAGTATATAAGGAATCTAGTCTAGGCAAAGTAAGGAACCTTAATATAGTGGCCACCGTAATGATGCATCATAACATACATTCCAATCACTAAAGAAGAAGCGAAATAAGCAGCCAATGTTCGGACTAAGCTATTGGGATCATAATTTCGAAATTACAACTATTTCTTCTATTAAAATTTGAAATATTTACGTAATGATGTATCGTTGTGCATTGTATTGTACAACTATGGTGATTAGAAAATCCTACTACGAACCCGGACGTCCTTGATTCGACTTCTGCCGACAGCCAACGAGCAACTCTCTCATACAGTTCTCCCTCCCTATCGCATTTGAGACTATGTATGTTTCTACAAAATGAGTGCATGCTGCTTAAATTTTGAATACATTGCGATTA